ATTTTTTTCATAGCCAATTCTTGTCAAATATAATCGTTTATAAAAACGTGTATACTGATTGTGTACCAAAGTCGATATTTTTATTCGATTCTACGTAATATTATTTACAAGAATACACTGTTATCACATTTGTTTAAAAGACTGCGCTTTAGTTATGAATTACGTAAGCCGATGTCTCTYAAAGTAGACAAGGGGACTGAAAGGGTTAACTGACAATTTATAATACTGTTCTGATGACAGGATGGTCCTAACTTATATACCAACTATCTTGTAAGAATAGCTTAATCAGTTGTCCAATGAGATCCATATAATATGTAAAAATAACTATTTATTTTAAAGCTTTTATCTTATTTATTAAAAATATTGATGTTGTCGTCGAATAACCAACAGTATGTAAACCCTTTAACTGTATCTTCTTCTTCTTCAACTGTATGTAAAAGTTATAGGTATTGCTGTGGTTTTTTCTTCTACTTAAGGTATTACTATTTTTTTCTTTCAGAAACAGAGCAATATTGGCACCTTGTAAGCTGTACATRATGCTGAGATATCTTGCTACAGGTTCTTTTTTGTTAGCTATTTCTGACTTTGTTGGGGTTAGTGAATCATCAGCCTGTCGTTACATTCACCAAACATGTAGAGCCATAGCAAAGCAAAAACAAAAATTCATGTTGTTCCCAATAAATGATGTTGATACTAAAAGAGTAGTAACTGGATTTTACAGCCGAAGTAGATTTCCCAGAGTAATAGGAGTTATTGACTGTACCCATATAAAAATTCAGTCACCAGGTATAAATAAAATATGATACTACTGCTACCAACTATATTCCTTTTTATGCAACTATGATTTAATGTAACTTTTATAGGTGGAGATAATGGGGAAACTTTCAGAAATAGGAAAGGTTTTTTTTTCCATCAATGCCCAATGCATTTGTAATCCATGGCTCAAAATTACAAACATAGTTGCTCGATGGCATGATCAAACCATTTTTGACAATTCTTTAATAAAACATAAATTTGAAACAGGACTCATAAAAGGATATCTCTTAGGTGACGGTGGGTATGAAGTGAAGCCCTACCTTATGACTCCTCTGCTGGCCCCTAGGACACAAAGCAAGCAGTTGTACAATGAAAGTCGCATCAAGACTAGAAATGTTATTGAAAGGTAATTATTGCTTGGTTGAAGATAGTGGGATAGATTTAAATAAATTTTGTGATTATCATTTGTACCTAATGTATCTAACCAATGTTTTTTTATCATGAGTAAGAAATTCTTCTTCTTATTGTGTTCGATGAGTAAGAAATTGATGTTATTTATTACAATACTATAGATGTTTAGGAGTTCTAAAACGAAGATTCCCAGTTCTCAACAAAGGAATTACAGTTAATTTGAGTAACACCCAAGCAATAATAGTGGCATGTGCTGTTATGCATAATATCAGTATTGATATGCATGATGAAGTTCCAAATGATTTGTGTGAAGACACTATGATGAAAATGTCAGAGAAGAAAACTTTTTCGATTTGCCAGGAAGTACAAGAGGTAGGCAAGAAAGAGATCGGGTGATCAGGGACCACTTTGCCAATTTACAGTGAGGTTGAACAGTCATATGGTAAGTAAATAGAAATTAAAATTAAGATTTAGGAACTTCATTTYAATTATTTATAATGATCAGATAATCACAGTAACAAAAACAAATAATAATATTAACAGAAGTAATAACAATATTAATAAAATGCTTAAGGTAATTTATGTAACAACAAATAACGCACAAAAAAAAAATAATAACTTTTACCCTTTGAGAAGTAATAACAATATTAATAAAATGTTAATGGTGCATATGTATAAAAATAAATACATAATTTATGTAGCAACAAATAACAAAAATAATAATAATAATAACTTTTAATTTTAAATATATACATAATTTATGTAGCAACACACTTATAAGTTCTAGTTAAAAAAAAATAACTTAATGTTTTGTACTATTTAAGTTGGTTTTAAGAAGTTCTATTTCTAATTTCATTTTTTCTTCTTTTAAGATAGCATTCCTTTTTCGAACATCATTTATTCCAATTTCCTGCTCTAACGCTTTTATTTGTCAATCTACTAATTTGTCCTTTTGCTGCAAGAGGTTTGTTGCCTCGGCGGATCGGCTTTTGAAATGTTTTTATAAAATATAATAAGTATATGTTATACAAATTCTGAATATAATAAATTCAAACATGCAAAACTCACTATTTTTTTTTGAGGGGAATACTTTTAACATGTTTTATATGTTGAGGAGTTACCACGTCCTATTGGCTGACACTTGCACCTAAGAAAATTATATATAATTAAAAAGATTCTTTGTACCTAATATATTTATTTGTATTATTGTAATAATATAATAATTAAAAAAAAAAGGCTATTATTAGCATAGATATATTATTTTGTTGTAGGCAAGTTTACTTTAACATACCAAAGTCGGAAAAGCTTCTTCCTGCCTCATTAGCAGTTTCATAGTTACTGGGAACATCTATAACTATGTTATCTTTCCTGAATGGTTCTGGAAAAACAAAAGCATATTCATGACATCATAAATCGTTAACTTGTAATTTAAATTAGGTATGTTAATTAAATACAGGGGCGCCGTTTCAGTTTTTTTTAAGGGTGTGCATGCAATTAAARAGGCTAATTTTTTCCCACCACCAGGCCAATTGTCAAATAAACGTTTCTCATCGTATTTTTCTATACAACTTTTACTATCAAAAAAACATTTTGCTTTCATACATAAAATATTACAAATTAATAAATTTAATATTAATATTTTAGGTATTAGATATCTTGCCATTCAACTATTACTATATTTTGAAATTTTTTAACGCATAAATTTAATTAATAGTTAGGTACCTATACTTGAAATTAGAATATCAATAAAAATAGAAACTACAAATCAATCATTAAAAGCAGTTTATGACCTAAACCATTAAGTTAAAGATAGAAAAACTGAAGGCCAAGGTGGCGAGGCCGTGTATCAGTGACGCCTAGGCCAATACGCTCGATTAGTGTCTACGTCATACTTGTTATCAAACCTTATCAGTGATAGTAACTGGATCCAAACAAACCAATATTATAATGTGGAAATACACTTAAAAAACTTTTAAGCATACAATAAAGAGTGAAGTACGATTTTTTTAAATATTTTATGGAATCAAATTTAAGATTAAGTAGTAAGTAATTATTATTCTCGTGTGTTATTTATTTCTACCTATTGTAGTATTGTCACAAAGTTTAAAATTAAATTAAATTAAATATTTATTCTATCTATTATAATGTTAAGTAATGTATTTGATGGAATAAACTTATTATTATTATTATTATAATTTAATTATTTTTATATACTTATTTTATATTTATTTTATATTCCTTGATATACTTTAATATTGAATCATGTACATTATTTAAATAGATAATTGTAATTTGTAATAAATATCAGCAATTAACTCAAGCATTTTTCTATAATGAATTATAAAATACATATTTAAAAATAAACAATACCATTCATCAGCCAAACTAAGTTTTAAACTCTTAAATTAAAAAAACATTTTAAAAACTACATATCAACAAGATAAGGTATATATTTTTCAATGATAAATGTTTCCAGAATTTCTAAATTTTCTATCCATTTAACATCTTTTTCGATTTCTGTTAATAATGCCTGTTTAGGAGTCCAAATAACCAAATAACAAAATTGACGATTGGTTAAATAGAGTTGGCCTTGAATCTGGTCCCAATATGGATGTGTTTTATTTACAAATAATTCATTATTTTCCTTATATAAAATATAATCATGATTTTTTGTAATTTCAACTTCAAGAACTGCATTCCAATACTTCCATGGACATTTCACTTCTACAATATGACTTGAATTAACAAGTCCATCTGGTGTAGCACCTAATAATCCACTATTTTTTAACCACAGCCCAGTTGGTTTTACATTTACATTTTGATCTTGTTCTAGAACTTTAATACCACAAATCTCATTGGTAATACCCCATTGTACAGCATGCACACCAGTAATATTATTATTATTTTCCAATTGTTTAAATAATGACTTTGGGAACTTATTTCTTTTACAAGCAGCTAGAACTATACCAAAATTACTAGCTGTCAATCTATGTTGCCTATAATGAAACCATAAAGGATTTTTTTGCTGTCCTGTAGTATCTTTAACCAACTGTAATATAGTGCTATCATTAACATAGAGTTTAGTGAATAACAATTTTTTAAGAGAAATAAAATCTTTCATTCTAACTAAACGTTTAATTTCTGGATCAAGAATAATAACACCAATAGTCTCTACTAATGCTATATTATTTTCAGATGGTTCTAGTTCAGGTTGTAACAACCAAGAAAAACCAACAGGTTCTGCTAAATTGGATATTTCCTCTTTAAAAATGTTTATATCTGTTTCTGAAACAATGGTGTCTGTAAAATCAATACTACCATATATTTGATTAATGGTTTTAATTTCTGATGACAAATTATTTTTCCTAKCACTCCACGAACAAGATTTATCAGTAGAACTTAGATTATAATGAGTGTATAAAGCTAAGGCAGCTATGTGATGGCAAATAGCTGTGCCTCGGGGGCAAGAGCATTTAGAATTTGTGACACGATCATCATTTATTAAAATTCCAACTTTGTATGGATCACTACGCATACTAGGTTTAACTTCCCCCACAATTATACCTAAATTAGGATCCATTTGAAATTTAAGAACATGATTGTCTTTGTAAGCTATTTCACCTCTTTTAAGTTGTTTGATATTATTTTTGAAATAGTCTGAAATTGATGTTATTGATAATAAATGATTTCCAGCCATTGCTATTTACTAACAGAACTTAAAATAATAATAAAAATGTCTTTTTTTTAAATTTAAATTTAAATTAAATTACAGAGAAGTACAAACGATTTATAAAGGTTTACAGTATATTAGTCATTAGAACTATAGACTAAAATATTTGTTTGGATCCAAATCATAATTTTGATAAGAATTGATAACAGTTGTGACGTCACACTAATCGAGCGAATAGCAAGTGATAAATTCAAGGTGTGCAAGTGCACACCCTGCTCCCCCCC